ATAACTGTTTTTGTGATTCAATCACATTGGTGCATATTTCTGTTAATCGTGACTAGTTGTGACCACTGAATTAAATAGATTGTGACATATATGTTAAATGTCTTGACAGTCCATAAGTAGAATTAGTTTATTCTGTGATTAATGTCATTGCATTGAAAATTGATTCTCTGCGACACTAAATTTGTTGATCGTATGTGAATTTCTTTACATTAAATAACTTCTGTGACCTATATTGATAGATCTGTGACTTCTTCATCTGTGGCCTGTATTCATCAATGTCATTGCATCTGATCGTTTCCTGATTTTAGTAAATGAAGTGTGACATGCTGTTATTTGTTTGTGATCAGGGATGACAATTTTGAACGTTTGCCTGTTATATGGAGGTCACACATCACTTATACTAGTGAATGATACGTGCAAGTATGATGAGTTGGTTAACCTTGTTATTTCAGAATTGGGGCTTAATCATGCAAAAGTAGCTTTGACAATGACATATTCTTTAGATTCTATTTTACCTTCAATCCAAATTCTGAGCAATAATAATGTATTAACGTATTTGAGGTTAAAATCTTTGGATGGGACTGTATCGAGTTATCCTATTGTGATTGATGTTATTACTACAAATTCATGTAAGTCGAGATATACATTACAATGCCAAGAGTCATTGACTACTTTCGTTGAGTCATCGGCTAATATGTTTTCTTTACAACAAAGAACTATCCTATTGCAGTTGATGTTATCACTACAGACTCATGGCAGTCAACAGGTGCATTGCAATGCCCAGAGTCATCAATTACTACCATTGAGTCATCGACTAATGTGTTTTCTTTACAACAAATAGCTCAGGATATATGTGACTCGGTTACTACAATTGAGAACGAAAACATTGAAGAAGATGTGACATTGATATCTCAAGCAAATGCTAGAGAAGTAGTGGAGGGAAATGTTTTCCGCAATAAGGAAGTACTGAAAATGAGCTTGGCCCTCTATGCCATACAAAACAAATTTGAATATAAGGTGTTGAGATCGGACAAAAAAGAGTACGTAATAAAGTGTTCCCAAGATGATTGCAAGTGGATATTTAGATCTTCACGCTTGAGAGAAACGAAAATGTTTAAGATCAAGAAAATCTATAATGGTCACACATGCTCAATGAACATTGTTTTAGGATCTCATTGACAAGCATCTAGCTCAATGGTGTCAAACTACATCAGGTACAAATACACTTCTTCACGTACAATATACACTCCTAATGATATCTCAAATGACATGTTGCACAACTATGGAGTATCGGTGAATTATATGAAGGCATGGAGGTCACGTGAGCAGACATTAAAATTGATTAGAGGTGATCCAACAACATCGTTTCAGTTGCTACCTTCTTATTTTTTTATGTTACAACAGATGAACATAGGGACAGTCACACGAATAGAAACTGATCATTTAGATAGATTTAAATATTGTTTTATGGCTTTGGGTGCATCGATTGTAGGTTGAAAATATTGTAGGCCAGTCATTGTTGTTGATGGTACACATTTAAATGGTCACTACGACGGTACACTCTTTACAGCTTGTACACAAGATGCAAACAACAATATCTTCATACTAACTTTTGGGATTGGGGATAATGAAAACGATAAGTCGTGGAGATGGTTTCTTGAGATGTTGAAGAGGGCGTACGGATCTAGAGATGGATTATGTATAGTATCCAATAAACACAATAGCATAAGAAACGCAATTGAATTTGTATATCCAGAGGCAATGCATGGGATCTGTTCATACCATTTGCTGAAAAATTTGAAGTCACATTATGCAAAATCAGGTCACAATGTCACACATACATTCAATTCTACTGTAAGAGCTTATACAGTGGATGAATTTAAATACCAAATGCAGCAATTGGACTCAATAAATGAAGATATCAGGGGATATTTGGTATGTGATTGTCTGAAACATATGTTATATGACTTCCTGTCACTTTTTTTGTGATGTTATGAAATTTCTATGAATATCTGTGATCACGCATGTTTAATGTACAAACTAGATTTCATTTTTTATTACATGAAATTGAAACATGATTATGAATGAAATATACAGTGCATATTTAGCATGTGGTCTCATTTATAATTGAAAACATAATCTAGTTTTATGAATGTGTCCATTTGTGACATGTTCTGTGATAATACTGACTATCTGTAAACTTTTTAGAGTTAACTGTGACCATATGTGACTTGTTACTTGAATCTGTTATCTAATAACTAAAATTATTTTGTAGTTGGATGTTGGATATGAAAAATGGTCAAGATTGCACATGCCAACCAATAGATACTCTACTTTGACATCAAATATAGTAGAATCTGTTAATGCAGTCGCGAAGGCGGCAAAAAATTACCCCATTGAAGCACTTCTAGAATCATTGAGGCAAATGGTCCAATCTTGGTTTTGCAAAAATAGAGATGACGCGCAAGGCACTTTCACAAAGCTTGCAACAAAATATGAGAAGTTGCTAAGAGAAATGAGCAATGATGTGAGAAATCTAAAGGTAAAAACAAGAAAACTATGTTTATTATGTTGATCACAAGTATAACTTTAAATATTTTTTATTTTTAGGTTTCACCTGCAAGTCACACTTTGTTTGAAGTGAGGGACAATTATTCATCATACATGATTGATATAACTCTACATGCATGTAGTTGTAGAATGTTTCAAGTGGATCAACTTCCCTGTCCACATGCACTGGCAGTAATAGCAACATTGAAGCCGAATGTATATGACTTTTGCTCTATGTATTACACAAGAGATGCATATCTAAATACCTACAAAGAGACTGTATTTCATGTAGGTAATAAATCATAATGGAATTTGCCAGAAGATGTAAGTAATAGAGTTGTTTTTGCTCCAAACCAAAAGAGAAGCTCTAGACGGCCTACTAAGAAGAGAAAGAAGCCAGCATATGAAAGATCACAAGTTGTGAAATGTGGAAGATGCGGTGAATTCAGGCACAATCGTCGAACATGCAGGAACTTGGTGCCACTTAACCAGAATGACAAAAAACTGAAAATAAAGAAAGATCCAAAGAAATTCAAATAGCTTAGCATATTTTTTTTACACAATGATATTCTTTGTAATTGCAAATTGTTTCATTTTATTGCCGAACGACGTATTTTTTGGATTATACAAGTTGATAGATTTATGCATTGAGCTTTCATTATTCTCACGATGTCACTTATTTTTGGAAAAGGGCTGTGTAAACAAACATTGATTGTAACTCTGTTTTTGATGATTGTGACCGTCTGTGACCATTTCAAGTATAAAATAAGCTCTATGTTTTTTGTTTAACTTGTGTGTTCAAACTGAATCTGAATGTCATCTTTCATTAGATGGGACCAACTTGTGTGTTCAAACTAAATCTGAATGTCATCTTCCACTAGATGGGATCAATTCTATGCTTACTTCTTTTGTAAGAGTGTCGATGATAAATGTTAAGAATTTGTGATCATTTGTGACCTATTCATATGTAACAAGTTAATCAAACTATTCGTGACCATCTGTGACTTACAGTTATATAAGAAAGTACTCATATGTGACCACTTGTGACCTATTCAAGTCATGCAAATTAACCAACTGTTGCTATTTGTGACGATTTGTGACCTGCGGTTATATAACACATTACTCGCATGTGACTATTTGTGACCTGTTTAGACTCTGCAGTATTCTCACGTGACCTGTTCAGACCGTGCGAATATAGACTTTTACATCCATAAAAAACTTAGAAGATATAAACAAAATCATTCACATAAACACCAATACTTTCACCTTGTACCAATTAACAAAAACAAATTCAAATTCAATTCCAAAACATATTACAAAGATAACATCTATCAACTACATCATAAAAATATCTGTTTGTCTATTTTTGAATAGTTATCAATCAAATAAATCATGAAAATAATGCCATCAACAGGAGTTCATTCATCTGACTTTGAACTTCCCTTTCCAATCAGCTTCAGTTGTTTGTTTTTGAACAGTAACGCTGCAATTTCAAGTCTGGCATTCCCAGCATCAAATAACATTGGCATATTGTCAAGATCATTGTGCAACAAATACTGTGCGTACTTTATCACAAAAACCCCACAATCATGCCTGTAATATTTAAAGAAGACAAACCATAAGTAATTACAAAATGTTGATGGAAAATGATAAAACTTACAATGCCCATAACGAAACTTACCCATTTTGTTGGGGTAAACCACGGACAATATTAACATGCAGTTCCCCAGATTTGTCACCAATACTATCATTAGTTTCCTTCCATAGCCCGACAAATTTTAAAAGGTGTGTAAGAGTCTTCACAAGTGATAAAACCCCTTCGCGAACCTTGTTGTCCTTGTATGATTTGTTGCTTGAATTATATATGTAAAGAACATGGTTAGTAATATCAAGCTGCCCTAACATCCAATTAGCATGATTTGTGGGCATAATGGGCATCAACACCGATTCAACTTCTCTCCAAGCAGTATTAAATGATAACCGTTTACCATTGATGGTTTTGACTAGCTCATCCTTCTTCTCAACAATGCTTGGGTCTTGAATAAACTTGGAGTATGTCGACTTGATTGACATATCAAATATGCAGTCTGTAGTGGTAGCTTTCATCTTCACACCTTCACCAAATTTGGCAAGTTGTCTTATGTAATGAAAGCATGCATCCAAGTGCTGTAATAAGAAAGAATATACATAAGTAATACAAAACTACTATGCATATGTGGAAAATGGTGAAAAAATTGTACCGTGCTGTTCAACGATGAATTAGAATCGATTAATGCATGCCACCAAGTTTTATAATGAAAAGCGACAGTGCCACATACAAATTGAGGACTTATCACGTTATCTGCATCTTTAAACTTTACCCTGTGCACACACATATGCCCTCATCAAACAAAGAATATGATTGTGACCAATTTATTTCTGTCTGTGACCCGAAATGCTGTAGTCACAAAAAGAAATGGAAGGTCACAATTCACTAAAAACACTAAAATCTACGTTTAATTTACTTGTTCTTGGGTTTGTATCCTCTGTCAAACCAATTCTTAAATGAACTCAGGTCTGTGCTATCAACTCCTTTCGAATAATTTTGGAACACGACGTTTACAGTGATAGATTTTGATCCAGTAGCAGCATGACGTGGATCGACCTTAACAAAAGGTGACTGCAGAGTTTTCGATGGCTTTTGTGCTCTCTTCACAGGTAGTCCAGATGATGGTGGTGCATGTGTTTCTTCCTGAATAAAAAACATAAAAACAACGTTTCTTAAATTAGTGTATGACAATAAATCTGAATTTATAATATTAAATCACTAAATGTTTCATTAAACTGACATCTTTACAATGAAGTTCAGTAGACTCCAACACACGTGCAATAGCCTCATCAACCTGATCCTGCACTTCTTTACTAGCAAAAAATGTATCATCAGAGCTTTTAGGTGTCTGTGAGGAGCCAACTCCTAGATCAAATGAAGGAGATTCAAGAACATAGTCATCATGAACATATGAAAACTCAGGTGCCATGTGACCCTTGTCCACTTTTTCAGCCACATCATCACCTTTTTGCTTGGGTTCTATGTGAACATTGTCACTTTTTTCAACAATATCATCACCTTTTGGCTCAGGTTCCATGTGACCCTTGCCCTTTTTGTCAACATCATCATCATCTTTCGGCACTTGTTCCATCAAAACATCTTTACCACTCAACTTCTTATGAAGTTCATCCATCACCGAAGATAAAATGTCAGAAACAGATTCAACAAAATTTTTAAGAGACAACCCGATGTCACTCAAGCTATCTTTCAACACATTGTGACTCTGAATGACCTCATTAAGCTTCAAAGAATTGTTTGATTGACGCATGTTTACATTCATCTTAGAGAGTTCTGACTTCATCGACATAAGCTCCTCTTTCAACCCCTTGTTCTCCGTTTGGAGCTTGGTTACTTCCTTTTCAATCAACTGCTTCAGTTGACCACATTCCTGATAAATTTTATAGTTAGTGAAATTGTATATAAAATGTGTTCTGAAGTGAAAAGACAATGATATTACTTACCTCAACACATGAGCAATCTGGATGGGAGGCAGCACTTTGCTGACCGCGAGAGCTAGAGCCAGCAGCCCCCGTTTGTTTATATAGTGATGGGCCTACAAAATCTGAATCTTCAACCTCTACCTTCGACAGCAGGGGAGTTGCCTCACTTGTGCCCAATTGATTTTCAGAGATCCTAACATTCCGAGTTGGTTGTCTAGGCTTTGAGTACTGCACATCTACCGATCGTACACAACATCTATAAGAATGAAGAAAGTCACAAGAAACAAGTCACATGTTTCATGTCACAAGCTTAAGAGACATGTGACTTTACAAAACAGGATATTCATACTTCAGGTCACAATCGTATGAAGAAAGTCACATATCAGATGTTTCTGATCACATTCACAAGTCACAAGTCGCATAAGAGCAAACTAAGTCACAAGGCACAAGCCACAACATACATAAGGACAAAGAGAGTCACAGGCCACAAGTTACATGTTTCAGGTCACAGTCATAAAACATATGTCACTTTACAAACAGGATATTCATACTTCAGGTCACAAATCATATTTCGTATCATAATAAATGTGAAGTTCATATTTAAAACCTATCATATATGGCATTGTGAGCTCAACTTCGGATGGATCTATGTCATTTATCACAACATGTTTCACATAAGATGAAAAAATATTGATCATATGCCATTTCAAAATTTATATAATCAACCAAATGATTACATAACAATTTAAATGTATTTAAAACCTTACATTCTCATTTCCAAATACTTTGTCCTCCAACATTGACACTGAAGGATGTTTGTGCGCAGTCCAATTAATAATGCGTAGATATTTCTTATAAATTCTTGTGGCCACATTCCCCTCAAGTGCAGGTATGCACTCATATAACCACACCTGGAAAGCCACTAAAAAACCTGTCAATCTATAGTGACTAGTTTGTTTTGATAGTCCCTTTTTTAGCGACAATAAGGTGGTCTCAAACAAATATCTACCCCAAGGAAATATTTTAAGAGTGGTAAAATCGTCTACAAGTGCAAATATGTATTGATCCACCACCTTCGGGTAGGATGTAGCAAATAAATATGAGGTGATGAGATAGATAATTCCAATCTTAACAACGTCAAGGTCTGGTGCATCATCAAGTGAAATAAAAACCCACTTGACATCTTCACTTGTAACAACTTTTAAGTCCTTAAATATGTGTCCTTCACTGAAGACGGTTTTTCATCTAACATTGGTCGACCATCGACCCCATCATACCTCAATCCCGTAACCAAACAAAATTCAGCAATTGAAAAATGAATATATCTCCCATTTACATTAAACCACATCTCTTGCTTGTTCGGTTGCTTGACCTCCCGTAGTAAAACTTGGTGAATCAATTGTGGCTGCACAACTATCTCCCTACAATGCATGTAGTAGGAGAAACATGTGTTTTCTAGAATTGCCCTCTGCGCAGCCTTAAATTTCATCACAAAGTGCGTAATCACACTCTGTATTTGCGTTGTGGTGATTTTTCCAGAAAACCAATTCCTTGGTTTTATTAAGTATTTCCAGTCCTGCACAATGGTAAAATAAAAAATGTTACTCTGACCTTCAACACACAAACATTTCGCTGTGACCAACTCATTGAGTTGGTCTCAAATTTCTAAGATCATAACACAAAGAAGTAAAAAGTCACAACAACTATTTCATTCGCAAACAATCCAGCACTCCTTTAAAAACACATTCGATTAAAATAAATAGTAATTGATCACACAGTACAAATTACAAACTACTCAATGAGTTGGTCACAAAATGATATTTCCTACACAAAATACCCACATCAGGTCACAAACTGCTCAAATAATAGGTCACAAATTTCAGAAATTATGTCACAAAATCGGAGTTCACCTTTTTCGTGAGTTTCCCGTCAGATCCTGAAATAGTTGGTCACAAATTTTCCAAAATCATAACACAAACAAGTAGAAAGTCACAATCACGCAATACATAAAATAAGTCACAAAACCTTCAAATTACAAAATACCTAAAACAGATCACAAAATTATATTTCCTACGCAGAATACCCAAATCAGGTCACAAACTACTCAAATAATAGGTCACAAAATCAGAGTTCACCTTCTTCATGGGTTTCCCGCCAAAGGATGACATTTTAACTCTCTTTGCTGAAAAAGAATCTCTTTTAACATATTTCCTCTTTCCTTTATCCTTCTCCATCATTTTCGCACCAACACTACGAGTTTTTGCCATTCCAAACACAACTATTGTTGAAACTAAAATTTAATAAACTATTGTGCGGTTCGTAGTAGTGGAGAAACGGAGTGGGAGGTTACTTTACTGTATTAGAGAGAGAGAAGAGAAGAGAGAGAGAGCAACGTCGTTGCTGTATTCCTGGTAGAGAGAAGAACGTGGTTTCTTTCTGCACTGCACTGCACTGCACTGTAGAGAGAGAGAGAGAGAGGGTTTATGGTAAAACGCGAAGGACGTGGTTTGGATGATCAGTGATTACGTGCAGAAGTATTATGAAAACTGTGTAATTCAGATATAGAGGGTTCAGATTTCATCACGTAAATGAACAATTAGTTTATAATTATTATTAATTTTAAAATAAATAATTAACACTTGATTTTAGAAAATTAAACCTAATCACCCTAGTTTTGAAATGTAAAGTTTATAAGTGTGGTTTTGCGTTATTTTTCCTATCTTAAAACTAATAATTATATATTTTGTCGAAGCATAAATCCTAATTAACTGGCTATTAAAAGGCCAAGTACAAAATTATGTTCTACATGACCCCTTCCCACTTCCCCATCTAGTTCCAAGCCCATTTGGGAAACCACTAACGCGTGTGGTACCTACGTCATTAATGATCGGTGAAAATATTTTTTTTATTGAGTAATACTATTTATTATGATGATGATAAAATATTGGTGCTAGAGTAATGCATTATTCTTCACATCTCTCTCATAAAAATTGAACTGCGCAATTCTATTATTTCACATAGACTGTCACATCACCGATATTCTACCATCATAATAATAAATAGCATTATTCATTTTTATTTGTTGCATGAATGACGGATTTTCGTTTCATGCGTGCTTCAGATTTATGTTTGATCTACTAATTAGTGAACAATGTTATAAAAATTGGATTGAATCGACCGGTTCAATCGGAAAAATCGTGAACCAACCTCAATTACGGTATGACCATATTACATTAACTAAAAAAAATAAAAAAAATAAAAAACTCGTTTAAAAACCATTAAACTGATCTGTTCAATCGTGAACCGGAAAAATCAGATCCAATTTCTTTCTGGTTAATTGGATTTATTATTATTTTTTTTTTACAAAAACTTTTCTAATATTTATTTTGATGGGCTCACCTTGCATAGGCATTTGGCAGGCACAAAAATTTGATCATGGTAATGCTCATTTTATAAGAGCTTCTTCCTCCATTGATTCACTCTACTTCCGACGTGGAATATGGGAACCAATTCTCAATTATAAATATTTTATAGCTTACTTATTATTTTTATTAATAGATCATAGACCCCCAACAAGTTATAATCACAAACAAATTATTTTGAACATATTAAATTAGGATAATAAATTAATTAACAAACATGAATTTATTTTTACTTTAAATTAGTAAACTAAATTTAAAAAAATCTGTTATTGTACTAATAATTTATAGTTTATGTGTGTATTTATTTATTTAATTTGGCATCTGGTTTGATATCGCTTCGAATTTGATTCAACCTTTAACCCTTGATCTTCTTTCTTTTTCAAGTTGATGCCCGAGTCGATTTTTAAAACATTATTAATGATAACACAATCCCTTGTTCCATGTATATTTATATTGTGCTTTTGATTCCACAAAATATCTATAGCTACTTGACTTCCCTTTCCTCAGGCACAGGAACACTTGTACTGGCAGACTACAAAAAAGCGTTTTTTGGATGACTCATCAATCGACCCAGCATAGATCGATTACTGAATGGTACAAAAGAAATCAAAGTCGTTGGATTTGGTGGTTCTCCCAATTACGAATCATTCAATTTGTCCAAAGGTTCAAGAATCCTAAACGAAGATTAAAGAAAAAGCTTCTAGAAGTGGAAAATCCAAAAGACAAGAAAATAAGCCAAAATCATGGCCTCCCAAAAGTTCATTTCTTTCACATTCCTTTTTCTTGCTACAATTGCATCTGCTTTAAACTATGAGGTTGCAGAAACACATACCAACAATTTTTGCAAAACTGCAGAAGACAAAAACCTTTGCAATACCTTGATCAGGCGAGTAAACAATTGGCATGACGCCAATGGAAATGCTTTTTGATTTCAATCCATTACTTTCAACAGAACTGAGATCAACTTTCACTTAAGGGATAAATATCTCTAAATCTATCTTCATCACCCTCCATTCCAAATAAATAATAATAATAAAAAAGCCTAGGGGCTGTTTGATCATTTTCATCATTAGGTTTTTCGTAGGACTTCTGTACTTAAAACAAGAGTTAGGGCTTCATTATAGGTTTTATTTTTTATTTTTTATTTTTACAAAAAAAAAAAATTAGAATTTTGGAGATTTCTAATTTCTTCAATTCTTTGTATTTGATATTTCAATCAATTTTGTTCTATATTGACATTTCAATAACATAATAAAAACACTGATATGAAATAATAATTGAAATACTACTATAAACTTAACCTCAATAAAAAAAATAAAAAATAAAAAATCAAGAACCATCAAATAATACTAAAATCTTAAAACTTTCAATAATTGATAATTTTCATGTGGCTTGAATCATTCTCCCAGTATATATGGAGAAAATTCATCTTCGATATTTAAGTGGATATCGTTTCCGCTTTATTGGGCCAATAATAACGCATCAAGCAGGTGTATCATCCATGTCCGTTATTGTTCGATATGAGTCATGTAGACATGATCATAAGCATCCTCGAACTGTATTTAACAATTGCAATAATTTGAACCCAAAATTTCTCAAGAACACACAATGTATAAAATGAACATTGACATCAAGAATGGATGATTTAGGGCTCAGAACACATTGTACCCATCTATACAACACCAAAACAACCACAAAACCCCAGCCTCAAAGATCAAAACAGAGGCAGCTACTACTATGGTCCACAAAGATCACCCAAAACACAAAATACACCTCTCAAACTATACATCAAAGAATCACCAAGACTCGATATGTACAAATCTCTCAAAAACCAGAAGTTTTAGAGATTGCGGAGAAGTCATAGAGACGGAAGACGAGAGGAGACACAAAGTCAGAGAGAGAGAGACTAGAAGCTTCTCACACGAGAAAAATCAGATGAATCGTCATTAGGGCATCACTTAGGGCCTATTTATATCACAAGTCATCACCATAGATCTCAAATCGGGGCAATCCAAGGAACCAGAGCAGCACACGTATTTATCTCATTTGGGCTGGGTTTTGGGCTCAATTTCGGGTCGCGTTATTGGGCAATAGGTATAGTATCTGATTAGAAGGCTGGGCCTTTATTTCATCATTGCCCACATATTAGACTGGACCAATTAAATTAGCATCACAGTCCAATAATAATTTTAACATCTCTCCGTGTTATAGGAGTGAACCTGTCACAAAAGCGTAAGGATACGACATCTCTTTGCCCCTTTCAACTCTAAAGAGGTGGATGGGTGGTTGGGTTGGATGACTATGGTTTGCCTGCTTTTGACATACAACTGAGAGAAGTAAAATAATTTTACTACTTTCGTTGCATTTAAGGTAAGCCAAACATACTTTTAATCTTACTCCAATCTAGAATATATATACATTACCCATATATTCATTACAAGTTCTTGAAAGTGCACTAATTTTCAGCTCGTTCTTATTTTGTTATTTGAAGATAATATTTAAATGATATATTAATTAATTTAAATTTTTAGAAAGGGTTCATTATATCCAAATACACAAATGTCCTTAATTCAAGTCTCGTCTTCATCCATTTAAATCAAATTGTATTCGTACAAGATTTTGATAGAAAAAATATTATGTCCTCCTTACTCGCGATGAATGTGTTTATCGAATCTTTTAATACCTAAAGTCAGACCAGTATTCATTTGAAACTCACCTTGATATTTCCTTAAAAAATAAGTCCATCATCATATCCAAGTCTCGGAACCCCATGCTAGGTTGCTTAATACCTGTGTTTGCTCTGCAATATTGAGCTGGTTAAGATTGCTCCAATCTTGAAAACTACTCATCTTAAATAAATGAATTCACATGGCTTCCAATCTTGTATTTTCTGGTTGGTTCTCAAAGTTTAAATTGGTATTCAATTTGGAGAGGGGCATCATAATGATAATCACAACTCAAACAATCTATTGCATTAATTTTTTCTATCAAGATTCACATGCAATGCTGATTTTATGGTGGAAAAAGTTTTGCACTAAGTTTGAGACTATAAAGTCATTGTTGCTTCCTTTTTCATCTTTTGCCATGTTGATGTGTTAGATTTTATCTTCGTGTTGTTCATTATGCTTCACAAGATTGCACAAGTAGCATATGTACCGAAAGTTAATTTGAACCGATCAAAGATTGACTTTTGTGACAAAGACACAAGAAAAGCAAGTGACTATAAATTTGAAATTAAAACATCGAATCACATTATAAGCGCTTGCTCGGGGAAAAAAGTTTCAAGTGAAATTATTTCGTTAAAGAATGTGTGGTTAAAAGTGGATGTATCATGAAAAATTATATTGGGGAAAAAATGACTTAAAAAAAAAAAAAA